AACAATCATCTTACGTTGTTTCACGATAATTAACCAATAATAACCTTTATTTCATTAAGGTAACGCAGGACATCGTATAACGGGCCCCCCAATACAGTAATAACGGGTCGCTTTGTTGTCGTGTGAATCATATTGAATTGGTGGTGGTGGTGGTAGAGGTGGTGGTGGTAGAGGTGGTGGTGGTGGTGGTGGTAACGTGGCGCTCTCAGTACCCAAGTTAGAAGGTTTGAATGACCTGACCTGTAGTAATAATCGACGATATATCCATTGGCTTTCGGGTTTGTTTCAGAAGGAGATACAAATTGAGAGAGAGAGAGAGAGAGATTTGTGTTATTGTATGAAATTATCACCTTGCGTATCTCTCTCCCTCCTCCCCACGCCCTCCCTCCCCCTACCCCCCACACACACACACACACCCCTCCCTCCCCTACCCCACACACCTCCCCCTACCCCACTCCCCTACCCCACACACACTCCCCTACCTCCCCCTCCATCTCACTCTGCCTGCTTTCTCCCTCGCCTATTTTTTTTTTAATATTCTCCTCCTATTATTCTTTCCACCGCTCATTCCCCAGTCCGCCACCACTCCTCCACACACTTACTTCACCTCTCATCTCCCTCTCAGGACTAAGGTTAGGTTAGGTTAGGTTAGGTTAGGTTAGAGTTCCGTTGTGTTAGGTTGTTTTTATGATCTCTCGTGTATTTTCCTACATCCCCTCTTCCCCTTCTTTAATCCCTTCCTTCCCTCCCTTCATTTTACTACATCTTTTCCCTCTTCCTCTTTCCTTACTCTCTCTCTCACTTTCCTCCCTCCCCTTTTCCTTCCAAATCTTCCTCTCCTTGTTTTATATCGATTCTCTCCCTTCTCCCCTTTCCTTCATTTCCTCTTCTTTCCTTGTTTCTTCCAGCTTTTCTCTAATTCTTCCTTCCTTCCTTCCCTTCCATCTCCTTGGTCCTCGCTGTTTCCTTTTCTCCTGCTTCCTTAAATTTTCTCTTCTTATTTATTTTTGTTTCTCCTCTGATCTTCATTCACCTTTTATTCTTGTTCTCCCTATTTATCTTATTTCTTCTCTTCTTCCATTCATCTGTTTTCTCTCTCTCTCTCTTATTTGTTCGTCCTTACTACCTTCTTTCTTCCGCTTTCAGTTTTATTTTCTCTCTTCCTGTTGTCAATTTCTTTCATTCCTCTCCTGCCACCACCACCACCACCACCACCACCACCTCTACCACCACCACCACCACCACCACCACCACCACCACCACCCACCACCACCTCTACCACCACCACCACCACCACCACCTCTTAGCAGCATGGCAGCAGCAGCATCTTGGCAGCAGCAGCAGCAGGGGCAGCTGGTTTGGCACCACCACCACCACCACCACCACCACCACCACCACCACCACCACCACCACCTCTACCACCACCACCACCCTACCTGTCCACCACCACCACCACCACCACCACCACCACCACCACCACCTCTACCCACCACCTCTCCTACCACCACCACCACCTACCACCACCTCTACCACCACCACCACCACCACCACCACCACCTCTACCACCACCGTCTGCTAGGGCGGTGGTGACGTCACCACCACCTCTACCACCATCACGTCTGCTAGGGCGGTGGTGACGTCACAATCCCTCTGGTTCCTGATCCTTTTCTTATTGGAAAATATGAAAACTTACCGAGGCTGTGTGTGTGGGGGCGTGTGGAGGTGTGTGGGGTGGAGGGTGGGTGTGTGGCTGGAGGGTGTGTGAGTGGAGGATGAGTGAGTGTTCTGCCACCCACACCCACTTATCCACCCACACTCACATCCAACACCTACCCTATCCCCCACCACGCTCCACACCCATTAATTTTGTATATATTTTTTTGCTGTGTTTACTGTAAAAATTTTCCATTTTCCCGCCTACTGCAGTGAGTGACGTAGCAAAATTCTCGTGTCTGCCTGCCTGTCTGTCTGTCAACATGAAGCCAACAGCGTTAATTAATGTTTGGAACACGTTTAATACATATTCTCTCAAATTAAATATTATTTCTTTCAGTCCCTTTCTGTCTCACTCTCCTAATTTTCCTTTGTCTGTCTGCCTCTTTGTCTCGATCATGGACATTGATTTTACAATGGCAATTTTCAGTTAATCCTGGATTACTGGAGTCCACCAGCGAGTGATCATTCAATCTCTCACTCTCTCTCTCTCTTATATCAAAATATAATAATGATAATAATAATAGTAAAAGCCTTTGTGAATCACTTAGGTCTTTCACTTGTGTGTGTGTGTGAATCACAAACAACAATAGCTCCACGGACCTTTCATCCAATATTATTTCGCACATTTCCTCAGAGAAATCTCGTGCACTTCTGTCACATTCCTCGCTGTGTTTGGCTGTTCTAGATTATGCTACAAACACACACACACACATATACACGCCAAATGAAAAAATGTCTCTACACCTCATCCACCTCACTTTTCTGAGCTACACGCCTGATTAATTACTAAAATCGAGGGCCTGTGGGAAAGTCAAATATATTTCACGCTGATTCAGATACAATTTAAATGCATTTTAGCGTCATATACCTTTCACGGGGTCCTAGATGATCAAACGCCGTTGCTCCGTCATTGCATACCAGTTGTGTGTGTGCGAGTCAATGTCAACGGGGTACCAGCAGTAGTAGTGAAAAAGGGTAAATTTCCTTAAGTCTTTCATCCAGTCAAATAGTTTTATCACGAAAAACCAGCCGTCACATACGTTTATTTTACGCGAGTATGTATGTATGTATGTATGTATGTATGTATGTATGTATGTGAAAGCTTATGTGTACCCGTAGAAGGCATGACGTGTATATTGGTAATAGTCCTCCTAACTCTTGTGTTATTGTGTAGTGTGGTGTAAACATGACTCTATTTGCCTTTGTGTATGAGTATTATCATGTATATTACTTCCCATTGTTAAGTTGATGCTATGTATGTGTTACCCTTTTATGTATATTGTTTTTGTGTTCATGGAAGTTAATGTGTTTATATTGTTTGTATTTTTTGTTTACGGTTTAATAAATGTTGTCTGTACTCGACTGTCATATGAGGTGTACGAGCTAGTGTGTGTGTGTCGTGGTGAGTGCATTTACTGTATTACATGTTAGTGTGTGTGTGTGTGTGTGAGTCTGCATGTGTGGGTGTAGTTTGTTGTGTTTACATGACCTCAGTGTAACCCGGAAACACCATTCAACTTTATTTTGTAACATTATATTATTAGTATTATTTTACTGTCGGAATGTCAACATACGATATTTAACACACACACACACACACACACACACACACACACAATATAATCATCAACAAAGCTATTGACCTCGGCTTCGGAGAAGTCTTATACCATGGCTTACAGACTTCCTCAGTGACCGACGCCAAGCTGTACGCTTCCGAGGGGCTGTTCCACCTTTCAGTCACTCACCTGTGGCGTCCCCAAGGCACCAAGATGGGACCACTCTGCTTCCTTATGCTCATCAATGATGCCCTAAGAGAAACCCCTGCTCGCTGGAAATATGTCGACGACTCCACCATTGGGATCAGCGTCAACAATTCTGCTCCCAACTATGCCGCCCTTCAGGATTTATTGAACAGTCTCCAAAACTGGGCCACCAACAACCATGTCACCATCAACCATACCAAGACCATGGTTATGCACATCAACCTCTCCTCCGACATTGTTCCACCTCCTTCCATTACTCTAGGTCCGAACACACTCCAGGTTGTAGATTCCACGAAGCTCCTCGGCGTCACCATAGACAACAAACTAAGTTGGAAACCACACGTCAGTGAAGTTGTCAAATCCTCCAGTTTCCGTCTCCACCTCCTCCGCCGACTCAAGTCCCTCGGAGTTCCTGCACCCGAGCTCCTCAGTGTTTACACAACATTCATACTTCCCAAGCTCACCTGTGCCTCCCCCACCTGGTCTTCCTCCCTAAATGCCACACAACGTAAACACCTAGAAAAAGTGCAAAAGAGGGCATGCAAGATTATTCTCTCCCCTTCCTACTCCACATATCAAGAAGCGCTCAACACACTGACCCTTTCGACTCTCACTGACCATCACCACGACCTCATCTGCAAATTTGGTAAGAAGCTTCTACACCATCCTCGACACCGGCTCCTACTACCACCTGAGATCCCAGCCGAGAATTGCTGTTCGACACCACAACCGCATCCAGCCCATACGTGCACGAACTGATCGCTATAAGAACAGCCCAGTCCCAACCATTGTAAAAATTATCAATAACTTGTAATAAACCAGTGTATTCACTCCCAGTAAACACTACTCCTTGCATTGTCACTATGTTGAAATGAACTGTAGTTTGAGCTTTTCCCCATCTAGTTATTATATATCTTATTTGTATCACTTATGTTACTTGTATATTATTTGTAATTCGAAACGCATTCCCCAAATATGTAACTGTATATTTTCAGCCTTCTGGCTGCCAAGCTCTTTCAATAAACCGTTAATTATTATTATTATTATTACACACACACACACACACGCACACACACGTCTCTTGGCTGCCGGGGGAACACATCACCTCTCTATCAGCAAGGAGCGTTTTTAAATCACTTTTAACGCCCGTGTGATGAAGTGTATTGATTCACAATTACCTACACGTCAGTGGCTGCTCAATTTGATGCCCCGGGAAAAATAGAGTTAGTGTGGAGTGTTTATATGGTGGAGGTACACAGACACAGCTGGTCAGGTACACACACGCCTGTTTGACCATTTTGCGCGTTGGCTGCTGGTAATGTTGTCCGCTCATTAACTAGAGAACGCCTTGGGAGATTTAAGTGAAATTTTATGTGAGGACAAGACATACGAGTAGACAGATTGAGTTCCTTTTTTGTTGTTATTCTCTCTCTCTCTCTCTCTCTCTCTCTCTCTCTCTTTTGTTCCCCCTTTAGGTCACTTTTTCGATGATTTTTTTTCCAAGGTTTAGCGGCGTCTTACCTTCGATGATCCTGGAGTTCCTTTTAGCTCGGATGTTAGGAGTGAGGTCCACCTTCTGGCTGCCAGGCTGTGGGAGACGAGGAGAACTGCCATTAACATATTGTATAATCGATATTGGAGTATAATTATTAGTTATGGGAGACTAGGAGAACTATCATTATCATTTATAATTGGTCGAGTATTATTATCCCTTCCTCCCTCCCTTCTTCCGTCCTTCCTTCCTTCATTCCTTCCTTCCTTCCTTCCTTCTCTTTCTCTTTTCCTTCCCTTCCCTTCCTCCGTCCCTTCCTTTTCTCCTTCTCTCCCTCATTGACGCACCAATCCGGGTATTTTCGACAGCTTTCAATATCCTCCGTGGTAATTGAGCCCATCGTTCTCACTGCAGCAACACCTGATGAGAAACACACTGGCGATATTTTTGTTATTCTCAGAGCTGCTAGTCTCGACCTGCTGTTGGTATGTCTCACCTGTTGTGTCTCTCCACCTGTATATGTGTGTGTCTCATTAAGGTGTTATTTCTCACGGTCTACGTCTATATCTCTCGCACACCTATTTATCTTCGCTCTTACGCAATCTCTCAGTATCTCTAATGATCCATTTACCTCTCCAGCGCTTATCTCCCCACATCATTGCTCCCCTATACCCCCGTCTCCCACAGATCCATCTCCCCCACCACAGCTCCCCCCACACTATCAGCTCTCCCCCACACCACCACCACCACCACAGCTCCCCCACACCCATCACCTCAGAGCTTGATCACTCCAATAACAAAGCCCTTACATAGTTAAACCCTCGTGTGTTCTTAATGGTGAAATAAGGATGTTGTTTACGTATTAAATCATTCAATGTTTGTGTGTTATGACGAGACCCTGTATGACCTGACCTGACCTGACCTGACCCTGGTAAGGACGTGGCCTGACCTGGTGTGTGAGGGAAATTGTGACCTAATTTGACCTAGGGTGTGTATGAGGCTATAATCTTAGGAGGGGTGATGTGGGGTGAGGGGTCGAAATATTGGAGTGGAGGAAGGCATGGAGGAGGGGGAGGATGATGTTAGATAAGGAGGGAGTAAATATGACGTTAGGGATAAGGGGCGGGAGTGAGGATTTAGGGACACAGTTAGGGATGGGGAGGAGGAGGGACAGGTATGGTGTTGAGCATCTATCCCACCCCTCTCCTCCTATTCTCCCTGTCCCTCCACCTCCCCTGCACCATCCACTCTACCTCTCCACCCTTCCCCCTAGTGTTGTCCGGTAACTCCACTAATAAGAAGTAAAGTGAGATCATGAACACAGGTGGGTCTTCTAATTTAATCTTAAAGGTAAAAAAAATCCAGGTATATGATACATTGTGTTGGAAAACTCCATTATGCTATTAAGATTTTTTTGTGAAAGTGATTCCCGTGTTTTTCCTCTCTCTCTCTCTCTCTCTCTCTCTCTCTCTCTCTCTCTCTCTCTCTCTCTCTCTCTCTCTTCTCTCTTCTCTCTTCTCTCCTCTCTCTCTCTCTCTCAGAACATTACCTTAGCGTTCGTTAAGTTGTAAGCCCTCAGGAATAAGCAACTCTAAAGTTCGATATAATTAGTGTAAGCTCATTCCAAGTTTCACGTATTAGTGGTTAACTAGTCATAACTTATCGTATCAAGTGAGTGAAAGATACGTTTATTCTACTGTAGGTGACTAATATTAATCCAGGTGAGATGATTTGGTTCGCCTGAAGATTCGCTCCCCCCTTTCTTTCCCTCCCTGAGTTAATTTCACTTGAAGATTAATCACCCTTATTCTACCTCGGTTAGGTTAGTGACGTATGGGCGGGTTGGGCTGCTCTGCTCCTCCCCTCCTCACAATATAATAATACATTCACGCCAATACTCCAACCGGTGACGTTTTCCTGCTGTGAGTAATAATATAATATCCCAGAGTGGTATCGCATGTCACTCAGATTGGCTGTCTCATGGCCAATACTGAGACTACAATACACACGTATAATACAAAGCTCACCCTCAAAATTTTTATACAGTCGCTGGAAAAGTAAAATAAATAAAATACAAAATAAACATGAGAATACAGGGTGTGAGGCTGTGTGAGTCTAAACACCAACAGAGTGAGGTAGGTATAGAGTGGCTGGACGCATTACTGAGGAACATGATGAGAAAACTGGCGTTATAAGAGTGTGGTAGTGATGGTGCTAGGGAAGGTCATCAGGGGCAACTTAAGTGCAGTACAGTAATGGTATAATGTTTGGGTTAATGAGAGGAGTAGTGGGGGGTCAGTGTGTGTGTGATGGAAGGAATTCACAAACGAGAATATAGCTTTGTGGTTGTATGTGAAACAGAGAGGTCTAAAAAAAAAGAAAGAAAGGGGAGGAATAAAGATTGACATAAGGACACAAGGGATGATGGTGTGTATAAGGAGAGAGAAAAATAAGAAGAAACGACGTAGAATTTTTGTCAGTAAAGGAAATTAAAAAAGTTTGGAGGTTAAAAGTTTTTATACGGTACCTGAGTGGAGTGTATTATTATAGGGCATTGTCTTTCTGTCTGTCTGTCAATCTGTCTGTCTGTCTATATCTGTCTCAAAAACATCCTTGCTTTGCTGTTTTTTTTGGCGTATAAGTTAGTTTGAGAGACACTAGGAACGTATATAATCCCGTCGACTTAGGGTTTTGTTAGTAGTGAGTGAGTGACTAGCCCACTAGAGATCCACTAGTCTTTGGAGATGGAATGACAACAATAACACTGACTTCTCTAGCGTGACTGACAGAAACTTGTGAATGTAAAACTGAAGACATAAATTCACACATAAACCAAAATATTACGAGACATAAATACCCTTGACACCATACATAGGCTTAAGATAATGTTGAGAATATGATAAAAATATATAAAGAGAGAGAAGAAAGAGATAAAGAAGAAAGAAGAAACCCGACAGTTGTAAATAGTGGAGAATATAAGATAGGAGAGGGTGAAGATAGTGGTATACCGGACACTCGATTCTGACTGAGGTAGAAACTGAGGTGAGAGGAGTAAGGTGATGCTGAGGGGGGTGAGGGAAGGGGGAGAGCGGGAGCGGAGAGGGAGGGGAGAGAAGGGGAAAGTGAAGGTGGTGTTGTGGAGGAAAGGGGAAAGTAAAGGAGGCAACTCGTCATGTCACTCGTCCAGTCACTTTCCAAATCATGTTACTCGTCCAGTCACTTTCTCACACGTCAGGTCACTCGTCCAGTCACTTTCCCACTCGTCTTGTAACTCGTTCAATCGTCATGTCACTAGTTTATTCATCATCTCACTCGTTCACTTAAGGAACTCCTGTCACTCGTCCACTCGTCCCTCACCCAATCATCCCTTCACTCGCTACTGCCCACGGCTTAGCGTCGCCACATGTGAAGGCTTGAAGGATAATGACATACGCAGGGAGGGAGGGTAGGGGAGGAGGGGAGGGAGGGAAGGAGGGGCAGGTAGGAGAGAAGGGAGGGAAGAAGGGGAGGGAGGGTACGGTAGGAGAGAGGAGGAAGGACACACACACACAGGGAAGGTGAATTAGGGGAGGGAAGAGGGGGAGGGGAATGAAGGGATTCAGTGAGTCACAGCGTGCAGGAATATAATCATACCTGAATTTCTACTCGAGTCTCAATGCTGGGATAATTTTGTGAGCCCTTGCGTTGTCTGTCGTACGTCGTGTTTCATCATGTGAGCATCGTGCAAAAATTTCTATAATCCGCTTCAGGAAATAATGTTGTCAACCATGTCATGCAATATTTTCACCAGGGATGTAATAAATAAATAAATAAATAAATAAATCATGCAATCAATCAATCAATCATGGTCGTGTTCTTGAGTATTGTAAATCCTCCATTCCAAGACAAGTGCTGCAATCATTCCTGCCAGATAGACTGTTACTTATTCGTATTATTTCTGTCTGTCTAGGTGAGTGTCGTTCAGTTGACTGGTCGTGCGGTTCAGTTAAGCGTGAAGGTTTTTATCAACAGTCAATGCTTCCAGACTTTCGTTTCAGATACTCGTTGTCAGCAAGTCGTCTATTTGTTGATATCTGTCATCCATTTCATTCAATATTTTCAGTCAATTCTTCAGTCAAAACAATCATTATTCCTATTTAGTTAACCACTTCAGTGAATCTCCCAGTTACATCCCAGTCATTCAGTTTAGTCAATCCTGTTCTATCCAGTAAAGAGTGTTTCAGTAAACTCTTTCAGTTCACTCACCCATTTCAGTTAACGCATTCAAGTTGTACCTCCTATCAGCCAAACGCTTGAGTATACAACCTAAGTCAGCTTAATTATTTCTCACTCGCTCTCACTCAAACGTTTACGAAGCATCTTCAATCAAGCTTTTTTTATGTCGCTCTCCCAGTAGCCTCTCACCCCCCCCTCTCTCCCCTCCTCCCTCTCTCCCCTCACCTCTCTCTCCTCTCTCTCTTCTCAATTTTCATTCTCCAGTGTTTTGAGAAAATTTGGATGGTGAAGATTGAGGGCGGGTACTAGCGAGGCAGGGCAAGTTTTAAGGGGTAAGTTAACGATGGTTTGTCTCCTCCACACACCCATTTGTCGCCCACCACACACTGCCCCACCTTACTCCACCCACCTCCCCACACCTACCCATAGCCCCATTTTCCACACACCTCCCCCACACACCTCCTCACACCCACCTCCCCACACCCCAGCCCACCCACCTCACACACACACCCCCACACACCTCCCCTACCCAGACCTGTTCCACTCCCACCCACTCCACACACTCCACCCACCTCCCCACACTCCCTACTTCCACACACCCACCATACTCCTACTCCACACTCCTACTCCCACATCCACATCATCATCCACACTCCTACTCCATGACTCCCCACATACCACATACCTTCCCTCTACCACCACATTAATTCCCCCACACCCTACCCACCTGTCTTCCTCAAATATGCAATAGTCACCTCAATGGAAAAAAGATTCTCTCTCACTTGAAACACCTCGACTGTAACAGGAGACAAAGTTCCATTTATAGTATTAAAAAGGAAAGAAATCTTGTTATTATCCACAAACAATAATTAAATTCCAAC